TGGTCAACGAATGAAAACAAACCGTTTTTGAAATGTCTTTTTTAACCTTATAAGTGAACTTATACAATTTATTATCTGCAGAAGAAAAACGCTGCAGATATCCCTTTTTTAAACAGGGAGAAAGGTAGAGTAAACAAAAGAGACCTGTATGTACCTTCTGCTATCTGAATCAAAATTTTTATACAGGGCTTACTTGCATAGCATGGCAGATATGGTTGAACACTCGAATGGTCTTAGCGTCGAGACCTGAGAATTTGTTTCCGATCTGTTATGACCTTTGCTATCTTGTCATTATTATTATACAGAATATCAGCCAATAAATACAAAGCTGACATCGGATGTGAAATTTGCAACAGCAAATAAAACATTTCAAGTATTCTGTAATGCAGATGCAACCCCGCCAGCAAATTACTCCATCAAACAAGGAAATATAACAATGGTAAATTCGTCTGATGGTAATGTCACAATTACTGCATCAAATAATGGAAAGTGTCTTACTATCGGCTGTATTGCAAAGAACAAATATGGGCAAGAAATAGCAAATTCCCTCAGAATACCGATCTACCGTAAGTTACAATCCTAAATAAAAAAGATTGAAATGGTTAGTAATGTTATTAAATAATAAGCATTACTTTTCATGCTGTAACTTTAATTTTATTTAGGATCTTTAATTTATTATTATTTATCAGTTATTTATGCAGTAGATTTCACTCCAATGAACTGAAAAGTAGAAAAATTGCAGTATTTCAATGTAACTTATACCTAAATATATAGACTTATAACTAATGATATCTATAAAAACGCTATTCACAGAACCACCAACTATAGTAGATCATCCAGAAAATCGAATTACAATAAGGAACGATAGCATTACGCTGCAATGCAGAGCCACAGGGACCCCAAGACCAAATATTACTTGGTATGACAAATTAAGAAATACAACCGTTGAAGCGGCAAACGGAACGTTACTCGTACAAAATGAAGACTGTAAAAATAGTACATTACAGTACTACTGTGTGGCATCGAATGTTGTTGAAGACGTCAAAAGTCCTTCAATAACAGTAGAAGGTATGTTTTTACCAGAACGTTTTCTGCTTGCCTGCTTGCCTGCTTGCCTGCTTGCCTGCTTGCCTGCTTGCCTGCTTGCCTGCTT